ATAAATTTGGAGATCCTTATGGTTGGACCTCCATCATTTCGGCCTCCATGTGGTTCCACATGGACTCTAGATGCATTGTGGCTTCCTCCTCTTGAAGCCATACCCGAAGGTTGCCCCACCCGGCGCCTTCGGCGTTCCCTCCTCTCCTCGCGCTCTCGGTGGTATTGTTGGAGTAGCGCCTCAATTCTTGCCAAGGAGCCATCTTGCTCCTCGTCACTAACATCATCATCATCCCCTTCATAAGGGGTCTCCACCGGCTCGGTTTCCGGCCTATAGGTTGAGTCCTCATAGGACCAATAAGTCTCACTCTCCGTGTCAACGTGGCCGTCGCTCACGGTTTGTTGTTGGCCTCCACGGCCCCTTCCCCTGGACACCCTAGTGGACCCCCGGCTGCCGCGCTCGGATCCCCCCGGTACACGGCCCGTCGGGTTCCTCCTAGTGATTCTTCCAATTGGCTCCATTTCTGAAAGAAGTTTAGAATGAGCCATTAGACTCGTATCAATTGTCAAGTGACGGATAGGTACTTAAAGACATCTCTTGGCTCAAATCACCGCCATACCAATTGTTAAGGGTACCATCTTAACAATTAGAGACTTTGCAACTCAAGTACCAAAAGCTCCATAAGTACAAAACTTTATGCTCATGGTTTGCAAAAATCATTTTCAAAATGGATTTTGAAGCTTCATTATGAAGTTTACGGACTAAGGCTCTGATACCAACTAAATTGTCACGCCCCGGACCTACCGGACACGTCAACAACCCGCCGTACAGTACGAATAGTCAACCGCAGTCCAACTCATCCATACTATACTAGGCGTCTTGAATATCATTCACAATAGTACATCCATAAACAAACATAATGTAAAATAATCAATTGAAGTCAGCGGAAACGTTTAATACAAGTGTTTATGCCACACTCCGGCAAACATGGGCATACAAGCCCCAATAATCATTCAAAAATATCCATGAGCATTAATTGAAATGTTTTTAAAATAGAGACGGAGGAAGCACGAACCACGTCTTCCTTCCTAGATCTTCCCGAGGCAACGGGCACTGGTAGCAAGCTCTACTCCCTACCTGAAACTGTGAGGTGGCCTCCCCCGTGAAGGGGAGGTCAGTACTTGGAAGCATTTGACAAGTACAATGACAACTATACCAAGTATAATCAATGTTTCAACTTCTAAGACCCTCAAAATAGGGTGATATCATAATATAAATAATAATTTATATTTCCCACTTATTATCTCTATAATAAGTAAATTTATTTATTTGTCGGCACACGGCCCATTTCATATATTTCATTATACCCGTCGTTAGCACGACACCGCCCGTAGGTCTTATCATCCTTTACGAGACTTGTCACCGCTCTCCGAGGCCTCACCGGGTCCCCGGGCCGGAGTCCAACATCCCGCCCCTGAACTCATACCCATCGTCCCGTAGGAAGGTAAGGTCCATTCGGGGTCCTATCTTATGTGTTACCGCTGTCGGGAGCCTCGTAAGGTCTCCGGTTCGGATTCCACCCTAACCCGTGATCACGATGTAAGTCCATGCTATCCAACACCGCTCTCTAGAGTCGGGAAGGGCCATGGTCCTTACTAATTACCAATACTCTATCGGCTAATCCTTAAAGACTACCGAATACACCCGTAGGCCAATCCTATTCCTAGGATCAATTTATTATTCACTTTATCTTGGGTATCCCTTAAGGACTACCCCTAGCATCACTTATCCACCTTAGTATCTCTTAAGACTACTTAAGGCTCAACAATTTACAATCCAAAACCTTGGATCAATTCTAACATATTTCATTCCAAAACCCCGACTAGTATCATTATACTAGTCGGATAAATTCCAACAAAATCTCATTTCAGTTCATAGTCATATAGACAATTCTCAAACTAATGTTCCATTGAAAATATAGTTCATATCAATATACAAAATATAATCTTTAATCACTCATATATCCTTATATGAAGTTAAAATTTTATTTCAACATAATATTCATAGTTAATCCCTTCATCAAGCCAATATACTCATATTACATAATCATACACAATTTATCCTTAAATTTGTATATTATGCTCCTTTATTCATTGACAACAATATTTTCATTTAGGCATTATTAATCATTAATAATCCATGAAAATAACATTTAATTACTTTAGGTAATCTTACGAAATTAACCCAAAGATTATAAACAACATAGTCAGCCATCCTCACCTTATGAAGTGCTGAAATAGTTGTCCTTGTTAAGCCCTTCGATCAATCCCCGTTCTAAACCGTTTGGAGATGAAAAATCTGGGCAGCAGACGAAAGCCGGGCGGCTTTCGTGAAAGGTGGGCGGCTTTCGTGGTCTGCAGCTACGAACAGCTCCCTTTAAGTGGCGGTTTCCGGCGATTTCAACTCCTATCGATTCCACGACTCTTCTAAGTTAAATACCACCACTTTATAACATTATTCCACACTTTTAAACATGAAGAACTCCATGTTTAATCCACCATATGATTTCTCAAAAATCATACAAGATTAATACTAGTTAAAGAAATACTAGTTGTGTTCTTACCTCAAGAACAACCCTCTCCTCCTTGGATTTTCTTCTGTGGTGCTTCCTTCAAGCTTGGAACTTGTGAGAGGCCTTCCTTGAGCTCTCCTCCTCCTTGTGTTGGCCGAGTGATGCAAGAGGATAGGGGGGAGGTATCACCAAGCCAATCAACCAAAATAATTTGGTGATGGGGTCATGAGGGTGTTGTTTTTGTCTCATGGAGACTTCCTCTCCCTTCATGTACGCACAAGCCAAGTTTGTGTGGCCCCCTCCCCTATTATTTGAGCTAATTTAGTGTATAGGATACCCCAAGTGGGTGTAGGAAATCCCTCCCAATTATTCCTGCTATTTTCGGTAGGTCGGACCAAAATAGCATTCGGGTTGTCCAAATATTTTTATCAACTTTGGTTGACCCTTTATTGGGCTCCTTAAATTATTATGATAACCCAACTAAATATTTGGTAGCTCATTCCCATTATTATGGGCTCGATAAATAATTTAATTAATCGCACATTAATTAAATGTACCAGTCAATACACAATTTCTTCGCTAGAAAAATCAAATACATATCCACTTTCAAATTCAAGTACATTCGGGTGCGGTGTCACAATTCATGAATAATCCAACCTTTGCACCTCATCTTCATTCACTGGTCCCTGACCGGTTGATGACCTGCTATTCCAAGCTATTTTCTTATCTTTGCAAATCATTATACCATAAATCTCATCTTTCACAAAGATAATATTTTGCAAAGATAAGAAAATAACTTGGAATAATAGGTTATTAACCGACCAGGGACCAATGAATGAAGATGAGGTGCAAAGGTTGGATTATTCATGAATAATCAAAAGGTGGGATTATTGAAAGAAGACCGCTAAAAGGTTGGATTATTAGTTTCCATTTTCCCTAATATAAATTGGTAATTTTGTAATTAAAAGAATAAAAAATCTTAAAGGCTAAAAAGATGTGAAGAGACGTGTTTTTATTGATTCAACAACAAATGTGTTGACTGACAACCAACTCTAAATAAAAATCAAAATTAAATTTATATTCATAGCTTTTTAAAAACTTGTCTAGCTTTGTTCAAGACTTTTTACTTATGTTTTAAAATTCTCAAATTGTCAACAAAAATTACACATTAGACCTAATTAATTAATTGAAATTATATATATAAAAAAGCATACTCATATTACATATAAAGAAAAAACTTGGGCCTAATTTCTTTCTACTTTTTTTCGGGCCTAGGGCGGTCGCCCCTGCTGCCCTCCCCCTAGGACCGGCCATGTTGTCACTATTATTATATGATCATCATTACTAATATTCTATTATTAGAAATATTGTAATTATTAACCTATTCTTAGTTTCTTACCCGCTCTTGAGTCTTTTACGGGGGCGTGTGCATGCGTATATTGTGTGCACACGTATATTATGAAGTATATATGTATATGGCTTCATGCCCAAATAGTCGGCCAACTTTGGTATTGGAAAATTTACACATTGAAGATGACTAGTTGACTACTGTAAATTATTTTAGACTTTCCTCAAATTACATTTCGGGCAAACTCAAGTTACATCAGGTTTTGTCTGAAGTTATATCTTATACCATAAGTTATAGTCAATTTTTTTAACAAGTTACATAATGTTTACATTTTATTTACATTTTCCAAAATGTGTGTTACACCACAATCTAAAGCGAGTTACACAACACAATAAGTCCATGCAATTCAAATAAAAATTATTTTTTTATAAAAAAATCATTTCTATAGCTTTGATATTAAAAACAAAACATATACACTAGTTATGTAAAAAAATTGGGCAATTAGACACCTTTTCATCGAAATCAATATTTTATTTTTTATATTATGTATTGGACAAGTTACACCTCGACTAGACTCGAGTTACATTCATCAATGATGTGAATTATATTTCTTTATACGTGAGTTACATCATTCTGCTACTGGAAAAAGAAACAAATAAAAAAAAGTATTGCACGCACATGTATTGTTTACGCGATTTTTTTTTAAAATTGATTAAAACGACGTCTTTCTGGACGTGGAGCACGGTGCTCACCGTGAGATGATACAACAATATACGCACTGCATTTTATTTAATACGGAGTACATGCTTCTTTCCATAAGACTTTGGGGTCGTTTGGTTTTCGGCGGATTGCACCTTTCCCACTGCATTTTTCAGCATTTTCACGCATAAAATGATCAGCGGCTTCATCGACCGGTAGTATTCAAACAAGGTTTTTTTCATTTTCAAAATTTTAACGAACTCTATATCTTTTTATGAGAAATTATTTATAATATGACTATGTTTTTTGGGGGAGATACTAGTAAAAAGTTATTGAAGTGGGGTTTCAACAACCTATTTCGTCGAGAATTTATGAACCACACAATCAAGACGCAACATTGTCGTCGAACAAGCATTGTGATCCTATCTGACATATGTCATTCGATCGTTGGCCTGACATTCCAACTCAGCAATCACCTTCACCCAAACCGAAAACCTTTCCAGATCACAAGTTTCAGAGGTTTGGCAATCCGCAAGCTTTCCATCAATCATTCAATCCTCCAACACACCCGAGAGAAATCAGTAGTCGCCATTGCTCATAATCGGATCTGGATTTCATGATATGGAGGCGGTCAATGCACTGAAGTTGACTCCACTCTCCATTCATTCTGAGACCAGAAGGATCAAACCCAGAAAAATCCAACTTTTCCCTGTGAAGAGCCTCTCTTCTTCAAGTTCCGCAAAGGGTTTATCCAGAAACGCTAAAGCGACTCTCTTTCTGCTGTCTTCTATACTGAACTCCGCCTCAGCTAAAGCACTGACGTACGAGGAAGCACTTGACCAGTCAATGAACAGCGTCGGCGCTGACTTCGATGCAAGTGGGGTTGTGGAAACAGTGACCAGATTCGCCAGTGACAATCCGGTGTTTCTCGCCGGCGGCGCCGCAATCTTGGCGGTCCCACTCATAGTATCACAGATGCTGACCAAGCCTAAGCCATGGGGGGTCACGTCAGCAAAGTATGCTTATGCTAAAATGGCTGACGATGCCAGTGCGCAGTTGCTGGACATAAGACCGCCGCGTGAGCTGAGGGAGGTGGGGGGGCCGGATATCACGGCGATGAAGAAGAAGCCGGTGACTGTCAGCTATAACGGCGAGGACAAGAACCGTTTTTTGAAGAAGCTGTCTTTGAAGTTCAAGGAGCCTGAGAACACCACCTTATTCGTTCTGGACAAGTAAGATTCTGGAAGCTGTTATCTTTGAAACTGCAAAATAGATCTATGATTTTCTTCGATTGCATCATTTTAAGTGTATGTTTGGCAGACTAGTTTTGAAATCTTCCAAATCCAGCTCTTCAATGTAAGAAGGTTGTATTGCCACTAAGTAAAAAAAAACATCTATTGCATATCCAACTATGATATATTGACATAATGACATTTAACAAAATTTTACAATTTTCCAGTCTTATTTTTATCCTTTTTTGAGTCATTTTGGCAAATTTTGTCAACTGCATTTAGCTAAGGCCTCAAGCTCGGTCACCCCAAAATTTACCTCAAGATATAGCCTACTATCCAGACTCTTTCCAGACTTTAGCTTATAGTATCAGCATTGTTGCTCCAAATATAGCCTAAACCCGGGAATAACTTTCTCTTTGGTTATCCCACATCAGACAAAAATAAAGGTACAAAGTCACATATAAAAACATTCAACTATTTTTATATGGTTGACTTGTTAAGATGGAATCCGAAGTCTTAATGTGGCGGCATCAACTATTAAACCATTATGCTCAAACTAGCAGCTCAATCTGAGTAAAACACAATAAGAACACGCAAATTTTACTGTGATGTGGAATTCTTGATTGTTAATGACTAAGAAGTCATTGATATTTTAGAATACTTGCTATTTAATGGTATGGAACAGCGTAATCAGCGGCTGGTGAGCTGTTCATATTTGTAATGTGATGCCTTGGAAGGTTCATATTTTCTGGAAGGTTGTCAGCCTTTTCATATTTGTGGGTTGTTTATATTTTGGATGTATTAAAGGTTCATGTTAATCTAGCTTCTGATATTCCAATAATTGAAAGTCTTCTTCTTTTGTGTATCAAAATGAAAGCTAGATTTGATGTAAGCTCGGAACTGGTTGCTGAGCTAGTGACAGAAAATGGGTTTAAAGCTGCATATGCAATTAAAGATGGAGCGGAAGGACCCCAAGGATGGATGGTTGTTGCCCAAACTTTAGTTGCTACATACAAATTATGTTGTTGTTTATGAAAATGCGTATGTTCTGAACAAAAAAACTGTGATTCGTGCAGAACAGTGGTCTCCCATGGATACTTCCTAAGAAAACATTAAGCCTTGATCTCATCAGTAACTTTACTGATGCATTTGGTGATGTTCTTGGGGTACTTTTCTTACCACATATGGTCAATTGTGTAATCCTCTATTTTTAAAGTGTGGTGTTTTAGGTGTATGCACCCATAAGAAAACACCCCTCCTAATATCAATGTAAATCTAGTGGAATATGACTAGAATAACCTTATTAATGCTTTAAACTTTTCGGTAACAGTTATAGACTTCGAAGGGTAATAGTGGAAAATGATCAATTAATGATTTCTTGATATCTTAAAGTTGGTTATTTTGGAACATCCTTTTTATTCAAAACTATGGCTAAAAGTGAACGGAGATAGCACTTGTTTTCCAGGTTTATAGTTTTGTTTGACTATTGTACCCCTAGTTTCATGTTCCAACACATGGTTACATCAGAATGGATGTGATTTATGGGTGGGTTGCAGGAAGGCGCTGATGGAGTGACAGCAGGCCTTGGAGTTGCAGCAGCAGCAGCTGGATTAGGAGTATTGGCTTTTACAGAGGTCATTCTCAAGTTCTTTTTTATTTATTGTAAATCTATTTGGCAATGTGTGCAATGTTTTTTATTCATTTCCTTTTTAGGTAGAAACAATTCTTCAACTGCTTGGTTCTGCTGCAATCATTCAAGTTTTCAGCAAGAAACTCCTGTTCGCAGAGGTACTTCAATAATCTATGAGCCCTTTTGGTAAGAGTTATTTGGCTATGACTGAAGTTCTTGTTTTTTCTAAAACCAAGACCGTTCCTGCTTATTAAAATATATTACGGCCAAATAAGTAATTCAAAAGCCACATATAGCTACCAAAAGGAGGCTGAATGTCAGACAGGTTCTATAACTGTGGACCCTGTGGTACACGAGAACATAGTGTAATATTGTTCCTCTTTTCATAATTGAGACATATACAAGAACATAATGACCCATTATAAATGTGTAGTACACCTACAAGCTAATTATCACAATATGGTTGATAGAGGATGGGTTTGCTCATGGTACTTGCATGGACTCTTACTAAGCAAGATTGCCTCCTAAGTTTTTTATAGTTGCATCTTTAGAACTTCAAGACCTATTTCTTCATCAAGCTTATACGGAGTAATTGCTACAGCGGATTCGAGACCTATTTCTAAAATAAAACTTTCATCAACATATTTTTCCACTTCTCCCCCTTTCAGGACAGAAAGCTAACGCTTCAACAAGTAGATGAGTTCTTAAACACCAAGATAGCTCCCAAAGAGCTTGTAGATGAGATTAAGGTAAAATCATCATCCTATTGAGGAAGAAGTTGTTCTAAATATAAGTTGGTTATACATATGTTTAAACTTGCCAATTGGGAATTCAGCAAATAGGGAAGGCACTTCTACCAACACCAGTAAGTACTAGCAAGGCTCTACCCAGCCCTTCTGCAGAGGAATCATCACTTCCAGAGGCTAATGACATTAGACCCAAAGATGCAGAGGCATCGTTACTGCCGACTCCAGTGTTCAATTCAGTCCTTAGAGCAGACGCACCTACTCCAACTCCAAAACCACTTTCTCCATATCCAAACGTAATTTCCTTTTTATGTTTACTGCTTGATATTGTGTTATCTGATTACTACTACAGTACTACCCTGTCCCCACCTCAGCAGAAAAAAGAAAATTAAATATATAGTGGAGTTTTAATAAAATCTTAGGTTTAACTAGCTAATAACAATGGTGGAGAGAGGTTCCGCAGTCCCTCCCATTTTTCTAGCTAGTGTATATTGTGTATGTGTGTGTGTGTGTATACATGTAAATATGTAATTATGAAATACTTCCTCGATCCCAAAAATAAACTTCATACTTTTTACAATCCTTTTACTGCAATGATTATGTTATTCCTTTTGTTTTTCCTCACCTCTTGACATATTATGATCTCACATATTTCACTTGTTAACCTGCACATCAAGTCAAAACCAGAGATAATTATAGAAAGGAGGGAGTATCAAAGAACATGTTGAAATATGCACTGACCATCTAGTATAATACACTCAGGGGCTCATGCCCCCCCCACCCCCCTCAAAACGACATTTATGGTTCCCTCGAGCAACCTCAACCCAATCTTGGATCCTATCTGTAACTATTCATTTCACCCAAATATGTAACAATGTAACATACAAGTTTCTTATTAAATTATGAGCCAGATAAGGCTACAATTTTACAATTTTAAAACTTCATTTGCTCTTTTAATTAAATACTACTCCGTAGTATATCTTATGTTCCATTTGCAGTTGATGTAAATGTTGTGATGTTAATGATATATAACACATGAAACTTGCTTTGCAGTACCCGGATTACAAGCCTCCATCCTCACCAATGCCTTCACAGCCATAGATTGAGTTGTGCATGGTTGCAATCTTGCAGATGACAAGAGTAGTTTGTTGTTGTTCCATGAACTATCTAAGCAAGCTATTTTCTTGCTTGTCGAGTCGCCATTTGATGGATAGAAAGACGCGTTTCAGAGCATGTAAGCAGGTGTAAAAGGAAGGAATGAAAATTCATTCAAATCCAACTAGATGATGTCTGATGTGTGACATCATCATGTACATGTGTGAATTAATGTGGTAACACGAAATTATAGTAAAATAATTTTGTCATGATCCTGCAAATAAGCAATGAAGCAACTCAAGTTTATTTACAATTGTTATTTTGCTTTAGTCAATACTCAATATTATTATAATCTTTTAATTTGATCATCTTTTTCAAATCATTTTTGCGCGCAGCCTTTTGGCATGGCCTTAAATGACAGAATTTGTTAAAGTTGAAAACTTGAAATTGTGGGGGATTAGAGTGTACCGACCAAATCCCTGTCATGATTATTACATGTACGTGTGCAAGGAGTTTGACGTAGTCAGGAGAGATATTTAAAAAGTTGAACTTTTAAATTTTATTTGTATAATTATAAAAACAAAAGTTTTACACATCTTAGCTTGAGACCAGGTCTAAGTTGCTCCCCAGTCCCCACCAGGCCACCACTCCTGGCCCTGTATGCTTTTATGCGTGTGTGTATTACAAACGATCACGCTAAATCACATGATATGAATGATTGATAAATACTACTTCATCCATTATAAAGCAGTTTGGCAATATTTTGGCGTATCAGTCTTATCAATCAACTTTTTCACCAAACATGTAAATTTTGCTTTCGCGTGCTGAATTGTGTAATAAGCAGAAAAAGTAAGGTTGAAGTTACTTTTCTGTCTGTCTTGGCTGAAGTTACTGTAAATGACCATTTTAACTATTTTACATATAATTTTTTCTTTATTTTCATAATAAAATATACTACCCCCGTCCCATAAACAAGTTCCCATTCACTATTCCAATGGTCAGCTTAAATCACTCTCAATCTTTTACTTTATATATCAAAATTTTATCAAGTGTAAATTTTCTTGATCAGGCTTTGTAGCGGTTTTAATGAAGTTTCTGAATATGTAAATTTTATTTACTAAAAATAATTTGAGTGTGAACTGGGATTGAGTTGCTTTTTCGTCAGTCAAACCTCGTAAACAACAATGGGAACTTGTCTATGGGACGGAGGGATAGGAATCGGCAGAAAGCAATGCTGACGAAACAGCTCATCAGGGATTATGCTGATTTAAACCTCGTCAGCCAAACCTCGTAAACAGCTCGTCAGTTAAGGAACTACTCCCTCCGTCCCAGAAAATTCTTCCCACTTTGACTTGGCACAGAGATTAAGAAAGTGGAATAAAGTGGAAATGTGTGGTTGTGGTTGTGTAAGAAAAATGTGAAATGAATGTGAACCACACAAATTGTCCAAAAAAGGAAAGTGGGAAGAATTTTTGGGACGGCCCAAAAAGGAAAGTGGGAAGAATTTTATGGGACGGAGGGAGTATTTGAATTTGACAGTTACGTTGTTATCAAAAGTTTAGAAAGAGGGATAGGAAAAACGGTAAAATATACCGTACACCCGGTTGTACGGTCCTCACCGTACAACCAGGTATTTTTGTAATTAATTAGAATACAGGTGGTAAAGATCTGTTGATTAAGAGGGACTTGAGAACCGATTCGGTGGCATCGAGGTGTTGTTCCCTGAGATTCTGAGGGTTGATGAAGAAGACACCGGATCGGTGTCTGCTGCTCGCTGGTGTCCTGGTGGCGGTGTGGCCTTCTGCTCGTTGGATCTATGTGTTATGCTCTTTTACCCTTTTAGTTTGGTCACATTAACTTTATTGACGTATCTTCTGCTAGATACGAAGTATGTTTGTATCTTTTTTTTGGTTTTAATGCACAAAACTCTCTCGTGATATGGAAATTCGGCGCATTAGCCCATGTGATTTAAAAAATGCGTCAAACCCTCCTGTGTTTTAATTAATAATGCGCAAAATCCCTTCTATGAACAAAATAAATTGTCAAATAAAAGAAAAATGATTAACATTTTTGTATGATTTAGAAATTTTGACATATTTACTTGCATATTCAATCAGAATATTAGAAAAAGTGATTTCCAGATCGTTAAATTTATTCATAAAAGGGGTTCTGTGCATGATTAATTAAAACACAAGAGGGTTTGACGCATTTTTCAAATCACATGGGGCTAATGCGCCGAATTTCAATATCACGAGGGGGTTCGGTGCATTAAACCCCTTTTTTCTGAACGGATGACCATTTTTAGCTCGGATTTTAATATTGTATGTTACTCCCTCCCTAGCATTCATATCTTCTCACTTTCCTTTGTTGGCCGTAACATTCATATCTTCCCATTTCAAAATCTTCCTATTATATTCTCAATAATTTTGAAAATAATATACGAAGTACTATTATAACTACTTTTTTGGATTTATCCTTCATTCCAACACACAATTTCATTATCTTCCCATCATACCCTCAATAATTTATATCATCTTTCACTATTCTTAATCTCACCTACTTTTTAACGGGAAGATATAAGTGTTACGGAGGTAGTAATATTTTTAGCTTGTTAATTAGAGTATAATGTTTACAATAAATGTGCACAATGATTTATACATAAATGAATATTTGAGCTCATTAGAAAATTCAAATGAGCATACACACATAAAAATTTGAGCATATTAGAGAATTCAATGCGTTTTTTGAATTTTTTGATACTCACTTCGTAAGATGTGAATGTTCATTTCATATTAGTGTAATGCTCATTTAATATTTCAATGAGCATACACTCATTTCATATTTCAGAAGTATAATTTTACAATAATGCGTTTTTAAATTTTTTGATACTCATTTTGTAAGTTATGTATGCTCATTTAGTACTGTTTTATGCTCACTTTAAAAGGTTGCACACTTCAAACATGTCATACTACATTAGATTCACATTAGAAATGAGTTTTATGTTTATTTAACAAAAACCATTATTTCCATCTCAATAGAGAACGTTTGATGCTCAATGAAAATATCGTGATTTTCAACTAACAAATTCATTAGTGCTCATTTTGTTAGTTACGTATGTTCATCTGATACCGATCTTATGCTCATTTATTAGACTCCTAATACTCAACGCAATAGACCGGATGCTCATAAAAAGTTCATTAATGCTCGTTCACAAGAAACTGTGGGTTTCATCTCAATAGCGGATGTTTGATGTTCAATTAAAATTTCATTTCAATGTACACTTTGTAGTTATGTATGCTCATTTGGTACTGATGTAATGCTCATTTTTACAATGTCATATCAATACATATTTCAAAAGTATCATATTATATTAGACTCGCATATTGAAATTAATAAGAGTGGATTATAGATATAATTTAATAAGTTTTTATAATAGAAAAAATAAGAAAAAGAAAGAGAATTAGAATATATGAAGCAAAGATCGTGAAACTTATTGTTAGCCTCCTAATACTCAATAAAATATGTTAGATGCTCACTAAAATTACATTATTGCTCATTTAGCGGAAGCCGTGATTTTTCACTTAAATTACAAAATTGCCACCGAAAAATTTTTGGTCTGTATTGATTGTTGGGTTGTCTCCCTTAGTTGGGCCGGGTGTATGTACACCCGGTGGTATGATATACGTACTCAGGAAACACTCAGCACATGAGCAATTCTCACTCGATCCGGCTCCACTCGAGTAACCATGAACTCCTCACAGTCCTCATTTCTCTTTTTCTAAACTTTCTACCCATTGATGAAGCGAGCCCGGCCCGGTCCGACCCGCAAGAAACTGGCCTAACCACATGTCCATAGTCCATACCCATCCGTAAAGGCACATCGGGTAGTACACCAGGCCGCACGGTTCGGGTAGTCCAATGAGCTGCCCGGTACGGGCATTTTAAAATTTTCAAAATCATATAAACAATGTTTAACACTTCAAATAGTATTAAAACATATTAAAAATTGTTGAAATATATAATGTGTATAGACCTCACTAGCTGTCACCACATACACAATATTTGCGCAAAAATAGTGATAAATTACCATAATTAAAACTTAAAATTCAAGCAAAAGTTTTATATTTAAGTACTACCTCCGTCCCAAAATTAACTTCCCGTTCGGTTTACGATGTTTGACTGACGATAAAGCAACTCGATCCCTATTCACACTCGGATTATTTTTAGTAAATAAAATTTACATATTAAGAAACTACATTAAAACCGCTACAAAGCCTGATCAAGAAAATTTAAATTTGATAAAAATTTGATATATATATATATATATAAAGTAAAAGATTATGAGTGATTCAAGTTGACCAATGAATAGTGACTGTGAAGTTGTTTTTGGGACGGAGAGGGTATAAAAATAGATACTCCCTCCGTCCTAAAAAGGTTCATCAAATTGACTTTTATTGGTCAATGAAAATCAACTTTGACAAATGATATGTAGGTAGTATTTTTTAGTACAAAATTATTTAGAATATGGAAATTATATCAAAATGTTCTCATTCAAAATATTTTCATAAAAGTATATTTTTTTAAGTTATATAAAAATATAATAATTAAAACTATTATCCAAAGTTGTCATTGTTGACTAAGAAAAGTCGATATGACAAACCTTTTCGGGACAGAGGTAGTATTATATTGGTTGAGCTAGTTGTTAAGAATTAAAAAAAAGTAAATTTAAACATAATGAACCATAAATACATATAAAGATATTTTGTTATAAAGATAAATTAGTAAATGTAAATATACATGTCTACATATAAATAAATAAATAAATTACTATACACCCTAACACATACCCGTCCATATATATGCTATTCTGGGTCCGTTCCGATCTGGTCCAGTGAGTAAATATATATGCCCAAGGCCACCCATTTGTGCGGGTGGGTTGGGTGGGCCCGTGCCTTTTAATGCAGCTCTAGAACTCACATAAATTAAAAAAGTCGCTCTCGGCCTCTCGATCAATTAATTAAGCGCGTACACAAGGATTCGACTCGACTTTGAAGAGAATCGACCCTGATTGATGAACACCTTGAAATTCCCAATAACAAGCTACTACCTTCTTTCCACTAACATTGGGATATGAGGAGGCGATATATGCGGTTATTAACAAAAGCCAGTTTATGTGGTTGATATTGAACGATTAATTAAGAATAAAATAAGAACGACTCAGAATCACACAAACTTTATCAAATTTGATACAGAGTATAAAACAATCTTAACCAGATGAACCGAAAAGAGAAGGTCGGGAGCAACATAACATCTAAAGTGTCTATTGAAGGGAGTTAAAGCAATGAGCTATCAACTGTATATGCATGGCATGACATGCAATTACGCAACCACAAGTCAAAGGAAAAAAAACAGCGACGTGGGGGTTGAGACTTGAGGTTTGGTATACTTAGGACCGGCGGTTCCCTCTCCCACAGATTAAAGAATTAATATTAGGCCGAAGCTAACTGCACACTACATGCCAGGCCACCAC